CACCAGCAGCAGCAGCTACCTGATGTCAGGTAGATTTCCTGTAAGCCCCGCCCCCTGCGACTCTAGGATCCAGGCTTTCTGCCTCCAGATGAAGATCAGCTGCTGTGGGTGAAAGGTCGCGGAGCAGAAAGGCATGTGAGGAATCTGGAGCAGGAATGTTAGAGAGGAGGAATCCGAAGGCAGGTCTGAACGTGACTGAGGCGCTCCGAGGTTTAACCAGGATATAACTGGGATTTAACAGGATATAACTGGGATTTAACTGGGAAATATCTGGGATATTACTGGGATTTACCCAGGATTGAATGTGCTAATAGTGGAGCTAATTTCTGCTTAGCACTTTTGCTAACTTTGGAAACGTTTTTCAAATTTAGGGTCCACTAAATAAATGTACTTTTATTCAACTTCCAGTTGAGGAAAGTTTGACATCCATGTTGAAGTTTTAGCTCTCGACTGTTGAGAATAAAATAAGACAAGATCATAAATACAACAGCAAGTCGTTATAGAACATGCGGATCATAATGTGAAAACAACCAATATCATTAAAAGGCTTTAGCTTTTAAATTAGATTATAAGGACTTTATGTAGATATTAATTCAAGCAAATAAAATCTGGAGAGTAAATTTTTGTTTCAGATGTTTATAGGTGTGAACATCATATTTGCTCTAAATGCTAATGAAATGCTAGTGACATAAGAGTTATTAGCGTTTTTATTTTTCACTAAAGTCAATTTTTTAAATGGTTTTATGATGGTTATCAACACTTTACCATTAGCTTCTGCTAAACACCAGTTTAGTGCAGTACTCTAGTGTAGCTGTTGCTTATAACTAGTTCCTCAGTGTTAGCACAACTAGCTTTTTCATTAGCAGTGTCTGTAACCCAACCAATATTTTTTTCCTCCACCAAGCTTCCTGAACAAGAAGTGGATGAACATCAAGTTTATGCTTCATGGTTTCCCTGAAACTGGATTCTTTCCTTCTTTAAATGAGTTGTAGTTCTGAACTGGAAGCAGCGGATGGATCCGTCATGCTGTGGGACAGAGGCTCCAACATGGCCTCTGATCTCCGAATGAGAGCGCAGGAACTAGAAACCTCCAGGTGACCGGCCCTGCTTTGTGTTCTGCAGCAGAGGATCCGGTTCCTGCACCAGCACATCCTGAGCGAGAGGCTATCGGTGGGCCGGGCCCTGAGGGGGTCTGTGATCCGACACCTGGCCGACCGGGCCGCCGGCGCCGGCACCAGTTACATGCAGGCGCTGCTCAGGCGGTACCTTCATGCCACCAGATAACACAGATTATATCCAAAACAAACTAAATGTCCAGCTGAGCAGAAAAGTTCTGCTGTTTGTTCTGTCAGGCTTCCAGGTGGAGGCTACCTGTCCTCCCTCACTGGCTCCGCCCCCCTCACCTGTCTGGGCTGCAGCAACACCGTCAGGAAGAAGGAAGCCGGCGTCTGCGACGTCTCGGGATGCACAGGTGAGAAACAGACCGTGGTCCATCAGAACCTGACGAAGATCAGATCATCTAACGACATCAGAACCAGAACCTGCAGAAGATCGGATCATCTAACGACATCAGAACCAGAACCTGCAGAAGATCGGATCATCTCATGCTCCAGAAGTCGCTGCCAAAAATCAGCAGCAACAATTTGAGTTATTTAGAGAAAGACATGAGAAAAATGCAGGTTCATTTCTAATCATTTATTTATAATTGTCTGCTTCAAACTAAGTATTTAGTTAAATATTTAGCTTCAAACTAAATATAGCGAGTTAGTTGTTACATAACTAGCTCAATAGCTAGGAAGCTAACAAGCTAAGTATTTAGTTCCAATGTTTTGTAAATTGCTCTTATTTAGTTTAAAGCAAAATATTAAGTTAGAAACTAAGTATTTATTTTGTCAACTAAATTTTTAGTTTGAAAGTTTCACATTGAAACTTTGTGAACCTCCATTTTTTGTCAATGTAACTTTTTCACATAACTTTAAAAATGGCGCCTTATAATCAAAGTAACATTGACAGTTTATGCAGTGCAGATGTTTCTGTTTGTTATGGACCTGAAAGTACCAGAAAATCCCAGCAGAACCTGAACGCACCCTGACTCTGGTTCTGTTTTCCAGGCGTTTTCTGTCGGATGTGTTTCCACAGCCTGGGAAACGTCTGCGCCGTCTGCAGGCGACCTCTGACCTCCCTGGAAGATGGCGAGGAGGAGCTGTGAGTGTCTGGCCCAGAACCGGCACCAGAACCAGAACCACCATTTCAAATGGGACAGAACTGCAGAAAAACAGCAGAACCATCAAATCCGACCCAGAACAAAATACACCTCCCGGTTCTGACCCGGTTCTGACCCGGTTCTGCTGTCCGCTCAGAGACTCCAGCGACGATGAGCAGCTCACCGTGAGGTCCGAGGTCCTGAACCGCAGTGATGACGTCAGCGCCTCCAGGTAAAAACTCGCCCAGGTGAAGCTCCGCCCACTTCTCTGTTCCTCCATGTTAAACTCCTGAACGTCTGTTTTCCCACTCTGTCTGATGTCAGTGAAGTAGACATGGCGTACCAGGACCGGTCCGCGTCTTCGGATTCCGACAGCGACTCCGACGCCTCAGAAGTCCTCGCTGAGATCGGCGTTCAGTCGCCGGGTCGTCATGGACACCAACAGTCTGGTGGAGCAAAAACTGAATGTTTTGTACAATAAACATATTTTTACCTTCAGCTGAACTCCGTAGAAAAGACCGAACGCTGCCACATCTAAACATTATTTTAATTCTCCTTTTATAAACTCCTGGACATTCAGGTGGATCTGAATCCATGTTGGGAAAAGTCCGTCCTGTTGATTCTGATCCGACCCGGTTTGGATTCTGGACTCTGTTTCAGAATTCTAGATGTGTGAGAAGAGGAAACCAGAGAGAACTGTGATGCTGCAGTTTCCTGTGATGCTGCAGTTTCCTGTGATGCTGCGGCTTCCTGTGATGCTGCGGCTTCCTGTGATGCTGCAGTTTCCTGTGATGCTGCAGTTTCCTGTGATGCTGCAGCTTCCTGTGATGCTGCAGCTTCCTGTGATGCTGCAGCTTCCTGTGATGCTGCAGCTTCCTGTGATGCTGCAGTTTCCTGTGATGCTGCAGTTTCCTGTGATGCTGCAGCTTCCTGTGATGCTGCAGTTTCCTGTGAAGCTGCAGTTTCCTGTGATGCTGCAGTTTCCTGTGATGCTGCAGCTTCCTGTGATGCTGCAGTTTCCTGTGATGCTGCAGTTTCCTGTGATGCTGCAGCTTCCTGTGATGCTGCAGTTTCCTGTGAAGCTGCAGTTTCCTGTGAAGCTGCAGTTTCCTGTGAAGCTGCAGTTTCCTGTGAAGCTGCAGTTTCCTGTGAAGCTGCAGTTTCCTGTGATGCTGCAGCTTCCTGTGATGCTGCAGTTTCCTGTGATGCTGCAGTTTCCTGTGATGCTGCAGCTTCCTGTGATGCTGCAGTTTCCTGTGATGCTACAGTTTCCTGTGATGCTGCAGCTTCCTGTGATGCTGCAGTTTCCTGTGATGCTGCAGTTTCCTGTGATGCTGCAGTTTCCTGTGATGCTGCCGGTTCCTGTGATGCTGCCGGTTCCTGTGATGCTGCGGCTTCCTGTGATGCTGCGGCTTCCTGTGATGCTGCAGTTTCCTGTGATGCTGCGGCTTCCTGTGATGCTGCGGCTTCCTGTGATGCTGCAGTTTCCTGTGATGCTGCAGTTTCCTGTCATGCTGCCGGTTCCTGTGATGCTGCCGGTTCCTGTGATGCTGCAGTTTCCTGTGATGCTGCAGTTTCCTGTGATGCTGTAGTTTCCTGTGAAGCTGCCGGTTCCTGTGATGCTGCAGCTTCCTGTGATGCTGCGGCTTCCTGTGATGCTGCAGTTTCCTGTGATGCTGTAGTTTCCTGTGAAGCTGCAGTTTCCTGTGATATTTACCAAAATAAAGTGAAACTGAACTGAAAAAGAAACGGCGGGAAAATCCCAGATCTGAATCCATTTAGTTTGTTTTGTCTTTTTAAAAATTAAATTTAATAAAGAACAAAAATATTACATTTTTTCACATTAGAAGCTATTTTAAGACAAACAGCAACTAAACGAAGAAGAAACGATCTGCACTTTTAGCTCTACAAAAACAGAAAAACTTGATTTTTGTAAATATTCAGGCTCAAACTGCAAAAGTGACCAGTAAGGTTAAACTGGTTAAACTGGGGAATTCAGGCTAAAAGCTACTAATGTTCCATCCATCCATTTTCCGGTCACTCTTCTCCCTAACGGGGTCGGGAGGTGCTGGTGCCTCTCCAGCTGCTTTCAGGACAGAGACAAACAACAGGCTTTTTGGCCCCAGTTTAGTTCCATACATGTTACCTTTCTGGTGCCTTGCTAAAGTTTTCAAACCCTGAACTTTCTGAGCCTCTTTTTCATTCGACCAGATGAACAAGTTACAATGATCATTTTTATTATTCATTAGTAAAATGAAAAGTATTCACACCCTGCCGGTTGGGAGGGTGTGAATACTTTCTCCTCAGTGAGAACAGACCAGTGAACAAAGCACTGGTCCAGTTTGGACTGGTCTGCTCCCAGTTGGATCTGGGTGTGTCAGAACCGAAACCTGAGGAGAAAATCAGATAGAAACCTCCGTGTGTGTGTGTGTGTGTCTCTGTGTGTGTGTCTGTGTGTGTGTGTGTGTGTGTGTCTCTGTGTGTGTGTGTGTGTGTGTGTGTCTCTGTGTGTGTGTGTGTGTGTGTGTGTGTGTGTGTGTCTCTGTGTGTGTGTCTGTGTGTGTCTGTGTGTGTGTGTGTGTCTCTGTGTGTGTGTGTGTGTCTGTGTCTGTGTGTGTCTCTGTGTGTGTGTGTGTGTGTGTGTGTGTGTGTGTCTCTGTGTGTGTGTGTGTGTGTGTGTGTGTGTCTCTGTGTGTGTGTGTGTGTGTGTGTGTGTCTCTCTGTGTGTGTGTGTGTCTCTCTGTGTGTGTGTGTGTGTGTCTCTGTGTGTGTGTGTGTGTGTGTGTGTGTGTGTGTGTCTCTGTGTGTGTGTGTGTGTGTCTCTGTGTGTGTGTGTGTGTGTGTGTGTGTGTGTGTGTGTGTGTGTGTGTGTGTGTGTGTGTCTCTGTGTGTGTGTGTGTGTGTCAGTGGGAGGACTCTGTGTCTCCAAACAGGAAATGTTCTGGTCTTTTCTCTCCTCGCTCTCTCTCAGTTTTTTGTTTCGCGTTTTCTCGCCGCTGCACGGATGGCCATCAAGGTGAGACCTCCTGACCCTTTGACCCCATGACCTGCAGCTGATCCGGCTGGTCCGGTTCTGGTCCAGATGGTTCTGGTTCGGTGGCGTTTGCAGCAGGTTTTCTGTCAGGCTTTAGTGGTTGAAATGATGTGAATATCGGCTGATATCTGGAGCCTCGTTTTGATCCAACAGAAATGGAAAGAGATTCACAGAAACCAGCTGATTTCAGGAGCAGCAGATAAAAACGATCCAAGAACAATTTATCCTGAAGCATGAAGTTTAATCCAACTGGAAGACTTTATTTTGAAGGTTTATGGAGATAGAGAAGTGTCGATGCTGCTGCTGCAGACTGCTGGTGGGTTCTGGTTCTGGTCTGAATGTGGACAGTTCGGTTCTTTGACATCATCTGACCTGGGTTTTGGTTCCCTGCGTGAAGTTTTAAATAAATCTGTGGGTGATGCATGAGAATTAAAACAAAAAATGATTTCAACTGTTTGGATCTGATAATGTTCTGGTTCTGGTTCTGGTTCTGGTTCTGCACAGAGATCTGAGATAAACGGAAAAAGTGAAACCTGACAGAAAAGAAGCTTTCTTTCTCTCTCTGTTTCTCTCTCTGTTTCTCTGTTTCTCTCTCTCTCTCATACCAGGAACCAGAAATCACTCTGCGTTCCTGTCTTCTTCTGTTATTTCATTTATTTCCTGTTGTTCGGTTTTCAGCGTCTTTATGCAACACTATCAGAATCAGAAACAGGAGTTGAGTTTCTGTCGTCAGGTTGTTTAGCAGCTTTGGGCTGTTTTTGTTTTAAGTTGCTTGCAGATTTAGTGAGTTGTGTTTTGCGCCTTTTTAGGTTCGTTTTTGAACGTCAAGTTCCTCATTTGGTCTTGGAAATAAGCAGAGACTCATAATAAACCCCAGATTTGTCTGTTATTTAGGCAGATAGTCAGACTCTCCCTGTCCATCATTTCCTGGATGATGGGAGGGAGTTAGTCAGGAAATGAGAGCCAGACTGGTTGTCTGAATATTTTCAGATATGACGGCCTGGAATGTCCTGCAGATCCTCTGAGACGGTCTGCAGCCGGCCGACGGCCTCTTCACAGAAACACGCGGCTGATCCCGTCCAGCTGCTTCACGCTGAGGCTGCATCAGATGAAACCTGCGGCTTGGTCACGTCTTTCCTGGAGGACGTGAAGCGGAAACGTGGGATTCCCGACATTCCAGTTTCCTTTGGGAATCCTGGAGTTTTAATTCACAGTTTCATGTTCAGTCCATCAGAAACACGTCATGGATTCTGAATTTAAAATCCTGCTGGTGACAGAAAACATGATTTATTAAAAAACACTGGATTAATGTCAACATTTCTTCTTCTGAAGCTCCATAAAAATAATAGAGAGAAAAAGAAAGATGTTTTTATAGACACTCAAACTAGATGTTAAAGTTGAGTGAAAAGGTTTTTGAGTAAACATTGTTCTTTTTTTTTTTCATCATTTAAGTATTTAAAATACAGCTAATTATTAAATTATCATCAGCTCCAGACTTCTGATTTTACAACAGAAAATAAATTTTTCTAATTTAATTTCAAACTCTGATTTTCATTAAACTTTGTTAAAAATAAAGCAAAAACACTGAAATGTCCCTTTACTGAGCCGGGAGCTTTTAGCCTCGTTCTGTAATAGAAAAATTGTTCTGGTGTTTGTGCAAATAGTTATTTAGTCATTGATATTTTCATATCATCTTTTATGATCTGAAGGAATTTTTTCATTCATCGAATTAATGCGTAGACTTTCCTTCTTCTGCACTTTTACACTTTGCTTCTTTGTTTAACCCTTTTTTTGCCAAGTGTTGCAAAAACTTGGCAAATAAAATTGGAAATAACTTACAGAATTTTGGTCACATGTTGTGGATTTTCATAATCAGATGAAGCAAAGAGTGATTCGTCTAAAGATATATTTTTATTTCATTATCTATGCAATGATTATTATTAGGATTATTTACTGAGTTTATTGCTCCTTCTTCCAATAGATGGCGCCAAATCTCGGTTTATAGACCTCAGCATTGATTGAGATACTCCAGCAGTAATTCAGGAGAACTGGTTGTTTGTTTGAGAACATCTGATTTATTGATTATTGATCGTAATCTGCTCAGTACTCGGAGCTGGAGCTGGCCATCAACACCATGGTGACGGAGTTCCACCGGGCGGCGGGTGACGGCCCCACCATGAGCCCCACGCAGCTCCACGCCTTCATCTCCACGCACATGCCGCTCCTCGCCAAGGTACCGATGACGTCACGCAGCATCGTCCAATCACAGCACGCCTTGCTCAACGGCCCTTTTAAAGTTATTTAAATTGTGTTAACTGTAAAGGAAAATAATCGTTTTCTACATTTAATATTTAACTTATGCTGATTATTTCAGTATTTAGTACGAGGCTCTTAAAAATGTCCCAGTTTTGTTGCAATAATTGCAATGAAGCAACTTAGAGTTTGTAAAAATAAAAAAACAATAAAAACAATTTAAAAAACTAGATAAACATGAATAACAATAGTAATAATAATTATTAGTTATTTTTGTCATTTAGAGGGAAGAAATATAAAAATAAAAACCAGGAAGGAAAGTTAAAAACAAAAACTTATGCTAACAGGATATAAATAAAATACACTAAAGATTGTATTTTTTTTCATCATAAAATGAAAATATATATGATAAAAATGAATCAAATGTTGATTAATGCTTCTAAAGGTACTTAATATTTCTAATTTCTATCATTTATGGATACATTTCCATAATTTTTCTTTAATTTCAATCATGAAGTTTTCTAGCTGTCAATCTGCAGACAAACTAACAGTTTGTCACATTTCTTTCAGAAAGTCCTGCCTGTTATTGATCTGATCTGATCCTAATAGGAACTCTTCACTCACATCAGGTGTTTTCCCCCAGGCCTTGAAAACAGCAGTTATCAAACCACTGCTAAAAAAGAACAATCTGGACAAATCACTACTGCAGAATTACAGGCCGACCTCTGACCTCTGACCTCCCATTCATCAGCAAAATTATTGAAAAAACTGTGTCTGAACAATTAAATAGTTTCCTCATGATGACCAACTGCTTTGACTCTTTCCAGTCTGGTTTTCGTGCTCACCACAGCACGGAGACTGGCCTAGTCAAAGTATTCAATGATATCCATATAAATACGGACTGTGGCAGAACCACAGTGCTGGTTCTGGTTCTGGTTCTGTTGGACCTCAGTGCAGCTTTTGACATATTACTGAATCGACTGGAGAGTTGGGTCGGACTCTCTGGTTCGGTGCTCGACTGGTTTGAATCCTACATAAAGAACAGGGATTTCTTTGTTTCAATTGGAAACTTCTCATCAAAGAGGTCAAAGGTCACATGTGGGGTACCCCAAGGTTCAATCCTAGGACCCCTCTTATTCAATATTTATATTCTCCCACCAGCTCAGGTCATAACAGGAAATAATATTAGCTACCATAACTATGACACACCTACCTACACCTACCTACCTACATTACGATGTCACCAGGTGACCTTTGACCCCATCCAATCACTGAATAAATGTTTAGACAGATAAATGTGTGGATGTGCCAAAACTTTCTCCAGCTGAACAGAAACACAACTGGTCATTATTTTTGGACCTAAAGAGGATCTAGAGCTATAGATCTAGAGTTATAGATTTATATCTAGAGCTATAGATCTAGAGTTATAGATATAGAGCCATAGAGCTACAGTTATAGATCTAGAGTTATAGATCTAGAGCAATAGATCTAGAGTTAAAGCCTGTCCAACAAATCAATCCTCCAGCTGCAGCTGATCCAGAAGCTGCTGCTCCTGTTCTCACTAGAACCAGGAAGATAGAGACATAACACCAGTTTTAAAGTCCCTCCACTGACTCCCTGTAGCTCAAAGAATAGATTTTAAAATACTGTTGTTAGTTTATAAATCACTGAATGGTTTAGCATCACAATACATCAAAGATCTGCTGTTGTTGTATCAACCTTCCAGACTCTCAGGTTCTGGTTCTGGTTCTGATCTGCATCCCCAGAACCAGAACCAAGAGAGGAGAAGCAGCTTTCAGCATCTATGCACCAAAACTTTGGAACAAACTTCCAGAAAACTGTAAAACAGCAGAAACCCTGACTTCCTTTAAATCTTGACTAAAAACCAGCTGATTAGAGTTTTATTTGAAATGTAATATGGAACAATGTATTGTTTATTCTATGACTTTGTGTTTATGATGTAAAGCCCTTTGAAATGTGCTATACAAATAAAATTAATTGATTGATTGATCAGTTCGTCCTGCTGCCTGCAGGGGGCGCTGCAGCTCTTCGCTGCATGGATCTGAATTCTTGGGATGTTCCTGGTCCAGCATCCCTTCCTGCTCTGAGTGTTTCCAGATGTGCGTTCTGACTTCCTGCTTCCTGTGTGCAGGCGGCGCAGGGCGAGGAGGGACTGGACCGGGTTCTGAAACAGATGGGAGTCCAGAAGGACCAGAACATCTCCTTCGACCACTTCTGGACGCTGATCCGCCACCAAGCGGCGCAGCAGTTCAGCGGCGCACAGAAAGAGAAGGGCGACAAGTTGAACTGCTCGCTGCAGTGACACGGCGCAGCCTGACCAGAGGGGGCGCTGCAGGACCGCAGGCTCACGCAGAAACTATGTAGAAAAAACTACAGTAGTTCACTTGTTTGTGTTTCAATTTTTGAGGGGTGACGAAAGAACAAAAACAAAATCAAAAGCAGATTGTTTCTCCATCTGCTTTACTGATGTTAAGAATTAAAATGAGGAATAACTTGATTTAGCTCGTTAATTTATTCCTCCGTCCTAGGTTCCTGTGTGTCTGCATGTGGAGGGAGAAAAGAGCAATCATACGACGTCAGACTTCAGATATCCAGAGTTTTATCCAGAGAAAATCAATGCAATACAGAATGTTACAACAAGCATCTCACCTAGATTATCAAAAGTCCAAGACATGACAAAACAGAGACAAAGAACTGAGTAAAAAGACAAAAAATATTAACAGAAGATGCATCCTCCGGGAAACTCTCACTCAGCACAAAGAGATTCGGACTTCTGCTGTAAAACAAACCATTTTATAATAATGTGTATTCTCTTCATTTAAATATATGCATTAGGAGGTGTGTTTTCCTTTGTGTGGGCGGTCTTAATGTTAATTTTATTACCTCCTGCTAAAGAGCCCAAAGGCAGATATATGGATCGTCTAACTGGGTCTCTGCCGTACCAGGCGTCTCCTGCAACTCTCCCTGAGCTAAATTTACGACCTCTGTCTGTTTTAGTTTTCTGCCTCAAATGATTCCACAAGAAAGTAGTTTGTATTTTTAACCAAGCTTGCACAAAATGTAATGCTAAATAATGACTATAAGTTTGGATCTAAAACAAACTAATTAAAAACATGCAAATATATTAATATGTTTGATTATATGTTGTAACAGACTTTTATAGTTTTTAATGTTTGCCTGAACTATTCAACCCTGAGTAAAGAATTTATTGCCCTGATAGCCAATACACTCCCTGTCTGAAACGCTCCTTAAGGAGTATAAGACTGCTTTCTGATTAGAAATTTATGTAACTTCAGAGAGTCACCAGTTGTCCCAGTTTGGATTTGTATCTAAGTTTATCTTAACGTAAAAGTTAGCCTGTGTACTATTGTGCTACTTTAAAATTCTTATTTCAACACTGAGAACGTACGGAGGACCAATGATGACGTTAACATTCAGTCACTTAAATCAAAGTGATCCCACATTCTTGCCAGAAACTCGTGAATATTTCATATAGACTTGATTATGAAAGTTTTTTCTGTGCAGCATTCCTCACAGCAACAATAAACCTTCAAACTGATCAACTGCATCTTTTTCTGAAATGAAAAAAATAACAACTGATAATTAAAAGTCCACAAAAATTACATTAAAAACCATCAATGTTCAATTTAACAGATTCAGTAATTGTGATTTTTTTTTTTAGAAATTATTGATGAAAAAATGCTGAATGATCAGTCAGCTGAACGTATGGAAGAACAAATGGGACAGATTAGAAAACCACAAACAACTTCCTTCATTCTATATGGATGGCTGATTGTTCTTTAGTTGATTATGTTAAAATAAATTGACTTTTGAAAAACGTATTCATATCAAGTAATAGCTATTATAATCTGTAAATTAAATAAATTACAAAAATGTATTAGCATAAAATAGTTATGAAATTGTGAAGTACATTTTCATTATGTATAATTTTACACTAAACAGTTTTATTTTACTACAAGTCATACTATTATTAATATTTTAGTCATGTCTGACCCTCCGTACACCGACTGAAAAATAAATTCATTTTATAGCAGAACAAAATCAGACAAACTTTCTGCTATTTAACAAACTAAATTAAAATGTGATGCATTTATATATTTTTATGTAATCCTGTATTTTTATTGTTTCTTAGTTAATCTGTTTATTGACACTTATGGGAGCCTAGAATGGGTTTTATGTCTATTTTATTGTGTATTTCTCTGTTGTAGTCAATCAACCAATGTGGACTCCGTCTGTCTGACTTTATAATTATAAGCTACATTTATACTCAGGTTTGTTGCCACTAATCTTCATGTAATTCCATGTTCTTCATAATCTAGATTTAACCGATAAAATGAGCAATAATCTGTTTTTAGAGTTTCTCTGCAGGCTGATCGAACCTTTTAGATCCAGGAGACGCCGGTCCTCATTTATTCATCTAAAACTGTGATGATTTTTTATTAATATTGTTACATTCTGTATGTTGTCATTAATCTGAAGAATAAAGGATTATTAATCTGATTTGTGTCCGAGTCGTGTTTTTACTCTCATGCAGGATGATAACGTTTTAACTCGGTGTTTCTTAATATAAGATGCTTCAACAGTGAACAAAGTGAAAAGTTTGAATTTTTTTTAACCTGCTTTAATGAAAGATTTGCTTACATATTTCAACAAATGATGCCAAAAATCACAAAGTATTTATCCTATGAATGAATGTTATCACTGGTAATATTATCATTAATAGCAAACCAGTGACTTGCAGAGAGTTGCACCACAGACCAACGAGAAAAAGCAGCAACTAATTAGTGGTCGTGATAAACTCAGTGGCATGTTTCCGCCTCGCAGGCAGGGGGCGCTGTTTCCTCCTGCTGCCGGTGGAAAACCTTCCCGTCAGGCTGAGACCTCCAGCTGAGCTTCACCTCCTCTGCCACGCCCTGCTCCTCCATCTTCTGCCTCAGCTGGAAGCAAAAGTTTCACAAACAGGAAAATAAACCACAAAATCTCTGAACTTTATGAAAATATTCCACATTTTCTGAGTTTTAAAATCAGAGATGATTTTTCCCTCAGAAACAGGAAGGTTAATAACTCAGTGCTTTTCAAAGTAAGAGCCACCAGGGGGCGCAGCGGGGCCTCTGAAAGTTAGGCCAAAATAATAAATTAAATCTTAAAAGTTTCCTTGTAATTTTTTGTTTTCTTTTGTCAGTCATTAAAAATAAAATATAAGTTAAAATAATTGTTTCAGATGTTCTTCCTGACTGCCGATCAAGTTCATTGAGCTGCTATGATCTGGTCAACAGGCCTGTCGCTTTAACACTTTTCACTGGATCATAAATTGTCCCAGAAGTTACTGGGATGATAATAAATGATAATATTGTTGTTTAAAACATTTTCCAGCAATAAAATTAAAGGACAGATTCTCAATCATGAATAAACTTTAAATTTTAACAAATATTTAACCTTTAACTGGAACAAATAAAGTAAATTATGGAAACTGTCCTTCAAAAAAAAGAAGCTTTTCGAGGCAAAAACACTTTTATCATCCAGAGAGAAAAAAATAAATCATGTTATTCATTGAGTTTGTTTTAACTTATCATGCAATCAACTAGTCTATTGCTAATTGTAACAAACATTTGAATTGATATTAAATATTTTCTTTTCAAAAGAGGGGTGGTGATGAAAAAGAGTCAGATCTCAGATCAGTGGATAAATGCTGCCTAATTATTGAATAGTGAATGAAAACAATCTAAAAGTTGACATTTCCTTCAGAGCCGTTGTGAACTCCTGACCTGCTGCAGGATGGATTCTTGCACGGCGGCGTCGTTCAGGTCTGCAGATCCGGCCTCCAGGCGAATCTTCAGCGTTCTGGTCGCTGATGGAACCACGTCTGCAGAGAAACGCAGGAACCCGATCAGCCCTGCAGGCCGGATCCTGCAGAGCCGCTGGGGAAACTCACCGGCGCTGCAGAGGAAGCTGAAGCTGTCGCTGCAGGACTGCTGGAACCAGCTGCCACTGGAGGAGTCCATCATCACACAGTTGGTCTGCTGTGTGGTGGCCTGGGTGGCCCAGGGCCAGTAGGAGGCGACGCTGCCGTCGGACCACACCCAGTCGGACCGGTGCAGACCGATCCAGGCCACCGCTGGGGGACTCCAGCTGAAGGTCTGGTAGCTGAAAGTGGAGTCAGGCAGGAGGAAGGTCATCCTGTAGTTCTTGTCGAAGTCTCTGATGGTGGTCAGGTCTGTGTGTGTTTCCCTGCAGTAAGCCTGAGCATCAAACCAGCTCATCTTCTGCCTCACCAGGACGTTACTGTCAGAGGAACCTGAAACAAACAGCACAACGAAAACAAAACGCTTGTTTATGTCTTTCATTTAGGAGCATCTACCCAAAAACTTGTTCTGCAGTAAAAGTAAAATGTTTATTTTTCATTCAGTGAAGAATCCAACAATTTTACTCAAATTACAGAAGAAGTAAATGTAACTAGTTACTACCCAACTCTGCTAGTCAGTATTTTCCTTCAGTCATAGCGACAAGTTCAGACAATCATAGGAGGAAATGAGGAGAGACTGAAATGATTCCTTCATAAAGTTTATATCACAACAGAAAAAAATCTTCAAACTCCTGATAAAATGTTCTGTTCTTCATGAAAGAGATCCAGGATTAACTACAATATTCACTTTATATGGGAAATATTTATGTCAGATGTAAAAAATACCATCAGCTGTTTAGTTTTTATCAAACATTTTCACACTGTTGTCATCATGTTGATTACGCTGCAATGCATTCTGGGTAGATAGTGTAAGCTAGGCCCCACTGTTCTACCATCCAGCCAGCTGCAGTTACTGGCTCTTCAAATGAGTGGAACGAAGAAGAGGAGGACCAAACGGAGGACCAAACGGAGGAAGAGGAGGACCAAACGGAGGAAGAGGAGGGACTCGGCAAGAGAAGCTGCAGTTTGTGCTGCTGCTGATGGGAAATGCAAAACTATAGTTAGCATCTGGATCAAACCATTACCTCAAATATATTACAATAAGGTCCTACAAGAACTTAAAGACAGACATTCATTACCTTCCAATTTGTTCTGATTTCACCTTAGCACATGCTAATGTTTTTAGCTCTAACAGGAGCTAAATGCATTCTAATGTTTTAGCTCTAATAGGAGCTAAATGCATGCTAATGTTTTTAGCACTAATAGGAGCTAAATGCATTCTAATGTTTTAGCTCTAATAGTAGCTAAATGCATGCTAATGTTTTAGCTCTAATAGGACCTAAATGGATACTAATGTTTTAGCTCTAATAGGAGCTAAATGCATGCTAATGTTTTTAGCTCTAACAGGAGCTAAATGCATGCTAATGTTTTAGCTCTAATAGGAGCTAAATGCATGCTAATGGTTTCGTTCTAATAGGAGCTAAATGCATGCTAATGTTTTTAGCTCTAACAGGAGCTAAATGCATGCTAATGGTTTCGTTCTAATAGGAGCTAAATGCATGCTAATGTTTTAGCTCTAATAGGAGCTAAATGCATGCTAATGTTTTTAGCTCTAACAGGAGCTAAATGCATGCTAATGTTTTAGCTCTAATAGGAGCTAAATGCATGCTAATG